ATGTTTTAGATACTGTTTTCTCGTTCGTGATTGCGATTTTTTTTTTACGGAATTTTTCACAACACTTTTGTGTCATCTGCTAATGAAACCTGTTCAAAAAATAGCCAAAAAGCGAGATATCACAAATCACATCAGCTTCAATTTGACAACTAGTTTGACACTTTTTCCCCATCCTTCTGCGCTGCTGTGTGTGAAATGCTTGCGAGTGCATTGTTTTTGCATTTTCTGCTGTCAAACAGCTGTTATTTGAAATTTTATGCAGCGCCTGTTCGTGGTGGGCTTGAACATTCATGTCGCTTGCAAGCTGTCAGCGTGTTGCATTTTTTTGTATGTGCTAATTTTTTGCACCACTTGCTTCCGAACGTATGTAACAATTTTTCTCGAGGGTATTTAATGACGGCAAGTTGAGTAAAAAAAACGTCCAGCCTTTTTTATTGCATTTATTTACTTGTTCAATTCACATACATATTTATTTTGAATATTTTCGTTGGCGATTTTTCCAATAGTTTTTGTTTATCCTCTTCTATTGTTATTATTTATTGTGTTATGAATTTCAGTGTTTATTCACGCTTCTCTCTGCTCTACATACATTGCTTGTTCATGAATGCGGAAATAACGCCTAAAGTTCATTGCAACTATGCGCTTTAATTAATAGTTAAATTCAATGCCTGCCTGGACGTGGAAATGCGTATCTATGCTTTTGATGTTTTGCTGGTGCAATTTTTGCCTTTATTCGCTGGAGCTAAAGTTTTTAAATGAAATTGATTTTCGATGGCTAATTGAATTTTTTTTTGTTTATTTTACAGTTTAAATATTCCCTGATTTAGAGAAATGAAATATGGATGTCTTTTTTCATTCATGTATACTATCTTTCCGATTGTTTTACGCTCAAAATATGCACATTGGTGACATTAAATACTTTCTTTTTTGATTTGTTTGCTTATTCCATTCACTTTCATAGCCCTCGCGTACAGTTCTCAACCATCGTATAAAATATTTATTTAAAGTATCAACGAAAATCTGACAACCAGCATCCAGCTGCAGTTTTTCTCTGATCTGAACTTCTTCCACAGTGACTCGTATACATTGGCTCATCTATAATTTCGAAAAGTTTTTGACAATAATTTTCTACAAGCTTGGAAGTCACACATACGCCACTTGAGATGTTTTCTCAAAAAATATCGATGAAATTTAATCATATTTATTACCAACGCAAACGCAAACGATAGGCCAATTATTGCTGTTCCTAAATAACTTTGATCTATAACTTCTCAAAATATTTTACTTGAAAGATGACTAGATATGCCAGGTTTTTCCCATACCTCTTTTTCAGGTGAAAACAGTTTTTGCTATGTCGACATTTTATAAGCAAAATCTGAACTAAAAAAAAATCAACTTTGAAAAATAATATTTTTTTATATCTTTTAAAGTCTTGTTTTTATTTATATTTTTCATTTAATGGAATCTCCTTAACCCTTTGAGTACCAAATTAGCTTGGGTGAAGCGAAATAATCGTTTTAAAGCTGAAATTTTCCAAATACTTTATTAATTTTTTATTGTGCTTGTTTGTGGAACTCCATTGAATGAAATATATGCAAGAAGAATGGTTTAGCGTTTTTTCATTTCTGGCGAGAGACGGAAGTGACACTTAAAAACAAAAAAAAAAAAAAAAAAACGTGAGATTTCATACCTATGCTTTTTGCATAAAAATCCCAAAAATACATAGACAAATCTTTAAATAGCGCAACTCTGCGCAAATGCAAATAACTTGAAGAAAACTACAGCAAAGTTAATTTTCTGCCGTTCTAACCACTTTTTACGCCACAAAATTGCTTTTCATATTTTCTGCATCTTTTTTTCGTGTTTTTTTTTATAAATTTTTGGCAGCCACATAAGTGAGCGGCGGTCTATGTGTGGAGCACGACAACAAAATGCGTTTTCGCACGCCGCACGCATGCATTCCTCTGCGCCATTATTTGTTTTTCCATATGAGTGGTTTCGCCGCCATGTCGCCACAGCAGTGTGGCTACGACGCGCAGCACAAATGCAAAATAAAGTGTAATAAAAAAATAAATAAAATTTGTAAAAAATAAATGCTGAAAAGCAACGAGAACTATTTCCATTTGA